CGGCAGATCGCCGCCCTGGCCCTCTGTAGCGGCTGCGGCGTCGCCTGGCGCTGGCTGCCTTCGGAGCGCAACCGCGCGGACCCAGCTTCTCGCCCGGGCTAACAGCCGAGGCGGACCGATGCATGGGGCTGCTGCCGATGGCCGGGGCCGCGCCGCTGCGCCTGGCTCCAGGGGGAGTGCCCCGGAGCTCCCAGAGAGGTCTAGCTGCGCCCCGCCGCCCGGCCTCGGGCTCCCGCCGGGGCTCGGCTGCGGCCCGCCCGGGGCCGCCTCGGACGTCGGCGGCGAAGGAGAGCAACCGCCGCGCCGCGCGGCGCTTGCAGAGGCGGCAGCGCGTCGGCCCCGAGATCGCCCCGACTGTCGGTCAGACCGAGTTTTTCATAGAGACAGAGTCGGCGTCGGCACCTGCCAGGCGGGGCCGCGGCCGCCGGGCGCCGTCGTTCACGAGCTGGGCCAAGATAGTGGCGCTGACGGCGGGCGCTGCTGCGTCTGTGGACGCTGCCCTGGTTGTCTACTTCCACGAGCAGTGCCTGGAGGGCGGCGAGAGCGCCGACGCGTGGAAGCTGCTCGCAGTGATGGCCTTCAAGGGCTTCGACATGGACGCGAAGTACTCGAGCCTACCTCGAGCCACTCGCGCAGCGAAGGGCTGGAGGCGCCCGGCTTCGCCAAGGTCGAGGTTGCCGCTCCGTTGGGCGGCGTGCTGCTTGACGTTCCAGGCGCTGGTGAGTGCAGGCGAGCCGCTGATCGCTGCCCTGACTGGGGTGGCGTTCGCGCTGTACCTGCGGCCGTCCGAGGCCCTCCTGCTGACCGCCGACCACTTGATCAAGCCGTCGGCGCTGCGCGGGGGGCCAGGGCGTCCGGGGCGCGACCCTGAACCCGCGCGAGCGGAGCGTGGCCTTCAAGACGGGCGCGTGCGACGACTTTCTGCTGATCGACAGTCCAGCATTCCGCATTCCCATGGTTGCCGGGCCTGCTGCTGAAACTGGCCTCGACCCGCCCGGCGGGTCACCAAGCTCCACGGAGGCGACCCGCGCGGCGGGCTTGCAGGCGCCATGGCCAATCACCTTCCACCAGCTGCGCCACGGCGGCGCGAGCCACGAGCTGCCGGTGAAGGCCCACGCCCAGGACGAAGTCAAGAAAAGGGAGAGGCGGGTAATTAGCCGACCAGGCGGTCAGGAGATACGCCAAGGGAAGGCGCATCCAGAAGCAGCTGAACGCCCTCCCCGCTGCCGTGCAGGCCCTGGCGCGTCGAGCGCTGGCCACGGTTGGCGAACACCCCTGCGCGACTTGACCTGATCGCCTTCATCACGGCCCGCGGCAGCCCTGTCATGTTACAGGTTGTCTCGGGCAGCGGCCACTTGTCTCGTGAGCAGCGTGAGTCATTCAAAGGTTATTGTGCCGCATTCGAGTTCGACATGATCCATGATGCTAGTGCACATGCTCTTAGCCGACGTTCAGAGTCTGCTTAGAGGTTGGATTCGAGGCATATCGATATCATCGGTATGGATCGCTACTCCGTGCCATTCGTTGTCGCGTGCTCGAAACCGACTGGGGGGACCTCCCCATTTCGCGATGCTGAGTTCCCCGTAGGCCTCCCTAGCCGCTCGCTTGCAGATACTTTGAAAATCACTCTAGATAGTGCTCTCGCTCATTTCAGCTTTGGTCTTTTCAATATGCGCTTGACCCTTAGGGTCCCCGTGGTTTTATAAAACCCCGCCACCTCGTGGTTGTGGAGGCTGCCTGGGGCCCTGGCTTTGGCTCGTCTCAATGTCCGGGTTGTGCTCATGGATTTTTTGTGCGTTCGGTAAGCCCGGGCGAAAACGGACCAGGCTTCGATATTGCCATCTCGATCTCTCCCAGCTCGAGCAGGCCCGCTGCGTCGGTCGGGGCCTCTGTAGCTTCTCTCAGCGGCCCCACTGAGTGTTCTAAGGTAAAGATCCCAGCGGGCGGTTCTAGACTCATATAGCGGAGCCGTACCCCCCAGGCGTGCGCAGGCTAATTATGCAAGCGTAGAAGCAAGCTCATCGGAACCCTGCTTTTCGACCGTTATTCAGATATATGGCCTAGCGGCCAGCAGAAGTCTCGCCAGGTTTGATTGTTGCTTGCTGGTTTTGGTCTTGTGATCGGTTGGAGGCCTTACCCTCGAAGTTGGGCGAGAGGCCGCGCGGCAGTTGGTTCCGGGCCAAGATCGCGCAGATGATGTATTCTGGTCTGCTCTGAAGAACCACACCTTTATGAGGGCTGGCTCCCGAGAGTCCGCCAAAGCATAGATTGCTCTGGCGTGCCTGGCGTTCTCTGCGAGGGGTCGGTCGGAAGGGGGTCGATGCAGCATGATCAGTTATGCTGCCGCGTGTGCTCAAGTTGACTCAAGCTTCCCACCCATATGACTCCTGTTAAGTCGTCCCCAACCCTGTAAGCTGGAGCATGTAACACTTGCACGGTCTCTTGTGATCGGTTGGATGCCTTCCCGTCGAAGTTGGGCGAAAGGTCTCTCGGCAGTTGGCTCCGGGCCAAGATCACGCAGATGATGTATTTTGGTCTGCTCTGGAGAAACAGGAATGTATGAGGGCTGGCGCCCGAGAGTCTGCCAAGTCATACATGTATGTATGTAGTTTTGTATGTTTGTGTGCGCATGTATGTATGTATGTATGTTTGTATGTTTGTATGCCTGCCTGTCTGTATCTGTGTATGTATGTATGTATGTATGTATGTATGTATGTATTTATGTATGTATGTATGCCTGCATGTATGCGTGTATGTGTTTATACATGTGTGGACGTAAGTATGCATGCATGTATGTTCGTGTGTATGTCTATACTGTATGTGTGAATGCATGTATGTGTGTATGTATGTATGTATGTATGTATGTATGTATGTATGTATGTATGTATGTATGTATGTATGTATGTATGTATATAATTATGTATGTACGTATGGATGTGTGTATGTATGCATGTATGTATGTATGTATGTATGTATGTATGTATGTATGCATGCATGTATGTATGTGTATATATATGTATATATATGTATATGTCTGTCTGTATGTCTGTCTGTCTGTCTGTATGCATGTATGTGTGTATGTATGTATGTATGTATGTATGTATGTATGTATGCATGTGTGTATGTATGTATGTATGTATATATATATATATATATATATGTATGTATGTATGTATGTATGTATGTATGTATGTATGTATGTATGTATGTATGTATATATGTATGTATGTATGTATGTCTGTGTGTATGTGTGTAGGTGTGGACGCATGGATGTGGATGAAGGTATGTGTGCCTGCATGCGTATGTAAGTATATATGCGTGTATGTGTATATATATATATATATGTGTGTGTTTGTGCATGTATGTATGGACACATGAATAAATGTATGTATACATGCATGTATGTGTGTATGTATGTATGCATGTGTACGTGTGTGTGCGTTTGTGTTTGCATGGTTGTATGCATGTATGCGCACATGCATATACTCATGCTTATGATGGTGATGGTGATAGTGGTGGAGAGTAGGTTCCCACAGAGGGTCGGTAGGCCTGTCTAGAGCTGGAACTATAGACATATCGTTCGCGTGATATGAGTATGCGAATGAGGGACAGATGGAGGTACTCTGGCGATCTGCCGACATCGACTCGCACATCATTGTAAGAGTTTGGCACGTTGTCATGTGAGGTCACGCCATCCTAATCCTGGCCCCCTGCCGCACGGACGCGAAGCCCTTGACACCGTTTGTGTGGGATGGGTTGGATCGGAGGGGGGTCGAGTTTGACGGGCTCCGAGTCGGCGATTTCGCATGGAGCGATTTTGCAGCATCGCTTCCCAGCCCCTTCTCAAGAAGGCCCCAGCGGGGAGGAAGGGGGGAGGGGGCTGCGGTGGAATGATGACGAGGGCCCGCGTCCCATGGTTGGCGCAGGATGTACCACGCCCATGAGGGCTAATTGTAGTTGCCTCCCCCCCACGCCCAATCCAGTTACCCCCCCCTCCTCCTTGTACTCTAATGGTCGTCGTCTTATCCCCGTCGCACTGTCCAGAGTTTTCCCTCCGCTCTTCCCTCTTCCCTCCCTTCCACCTCTCCTCCACCTCCTCTTCCTCAGAAGAGTCGTCCCTGGACCTGTCCTGGAGCGAGTTCCGATTAGGATTCCGAGGCGGAGTCAGCAGTAGCGACGAGGGGGTGTTCCCAGGACCCAGAAGAGGAGCAAGAAGATGGGGAGGAGTACTCCTTTCGTTTTTCCTCATCGTCCTCTTCTTCCTCCTCTTCCGTTCTCAGGACGAACGGCATCTTCCCCATCCGCCTCAGTTCCCCTTCTTCGTCCTCCCTCCTCATCCCTCCTGCCTCCTCCCTCCTTCGACATGGCGAGGGTATGCGAGGGATTGTACGTCATACTCGGCTGTGCGCGTCCTCCACCCTAATTACCTCCTGCCTCCACCCTGCTCTCCAGGCCTCCCAAGATGGATTCGAAGTGGACCTGGTCGGAGGGTCGCGCCGCATCGTTGATGCATCGGCGATGCGACTCTGTGTGGAGCCCGATCTTCTCCACGCGGACGTCGCTGCTGCATCGCCGACGGCGCCGATGCATCGTCGATACGGCGCAATCCGCTGACATCATGTACTCCGACCGCATCTTGGGAGGCCTCCCTCCTCTCCCACTTGCCTCCGCTCTCCTCCCTGCCCCTCCTCCTCCTCCTCCTCCTCCTCCTCCTCCTCCTCCTCCTCCTCCTCCTCCTCCTCCTCCCCCTCTCGTCATCATGATCATCATCATCAGCAGCATCATCAGCAGCATCATCATCTGCACCTGGATCAGCATCAGCATCAGCATCAGCATCATCACCATCATCAACATCATCATCGTCATCGTCAACAGCATCATCATCAGCATCATCAGCAGCATCATCATCATCATCATCATCGTCATCATCATCATCATCATCATCAACAACATCAACAACATCATCGTCATCATCATATCATCGCCCCCTTGGCGGGGAGGTCTGCGACCCGGGCTCGGTGCTGTGGGAGCGCTGGCGGGTCGAGACCTTCCCCGCAGTGCAGCACATGGTGAGCCTCGTGCGGGGGCGCTTGCGGGACCCTCCATGCCTTCAGTTGATGTGCAAGCGTCGGCCAGCCTCAACGGGGAAAAGGGCAGCCCAGAAGAACAGCACGGCAATGCGAAACGGAACCGAGCCGAAGACAGCGCGAGTCAGAATCCCAAAGCAAAACAAAAACATGGACCCTGAAAGGAGAAGCACCGATCTCGGAAACGCAAGAGGAACACGCCCCCAGCGTCTTGTCGCACCATCTGAGCCCCTGCCTGCCGCCCAGTCCGCCGCGGAGCGCCGGATCCTCCTCCTGGAGATGCCAGGGAGGGCAGGAGGTCCGGTCAACCCGCGGAACTACGAACCGCTTCGGGCTCAGGAGGGGCGTCCGTCTTCGGCTCGGCATCGCTCGGACCATCGAGGAGCATCCAGAGTCACCATGGGGAAAGTAAACGCACGACACCGAAAGATGCACGGGGAGTGGACGTCCGAGCGACCGCAAGTCTGGCCTCTCCCCAGGTCTGGGTCGGGGGAACCCGCGCGTGGCCAGAAGAGCCCCTTACCGTGCCTCCTGTTCGGCGCTCCGCATGGCAGCACGATGGCTGGGCTCCAAGGCCGCGGCCCGTCCCTCCAGAGAGGGAGGCGCTCCGATACCTCTGCCCCCCCGAGAGCCGCCGCGGTCCGCGGGCCGAGGTCCGCCTCGGATGTCCTGGGCAGGACGCGCCCCGGGAGGGGTCCGGGGGGCAGCGGCCCCGGTCCTGAGGCAGGGATCTACACAGCACCACGGCCTGGAGGATCGATGTTCGGAGACCTCGACAGGCGGTGGAGACGGATGTTCGGGCCCCATGGTGCCAAAATCTATTTGTATATCCACCGCCCGCTGGGGTCCCAGGACATCGTTTCCACAGGCTGTGGGTGTGAAGATATCCCCGCCTCGCACTCGGTACCTGTCCCCCTGGGATGAGCTCTGAGGGCGGAGCCAAGGGGGTCATCCCGGGGGGAGTCACCACATCCACCTGATCGACGGAAGGAAACGGAGTCGATTGCGCCGGCATTCATTCGTGCGTAAGCTCAAAGCGTAAGGCCGCGCCGCGCAAGCATCCTCGTCTCGAATGTGGCGTGCCGCGCTGGCGGCCCGCGTACGCCACCGCGTAAGGTCGCCATGTCATCTTGCGTACGACCAGGGTCGACGAGGTCTTGGACGCTTCGGGCCGTTTGGGGGCCCAGGGGGGTGATCCTGAACGATTTCGTCTGCGACGGCTTCATCCGGAAGAACATTTTTCCGCACGGACTCGTCCAGACGAAGTTGCCTGGGTCATCGCGTCCAGATAAATTTGTCTGCGGACGACCTCGTCACTGGACGAACTCGTCTCCGGATGAGATCGTCTTCGGATGAGCTCGTCTGGCAGAAGTTGTCCGTCTGAATAAACTTGGGCCTCGCGTGCTGGGGGGGCGATCAACGGGGGGCAGCGAGGGCTGCAGAAAGGGAGCCCTGCCATGTAGGGCCCCACTGATCGCCCCCCCATCTAGTTTCGCCCGATCTGTCCTCGCGGCTCTGCGGGGCCCTGCCGCCTCTTGAGGGGCCGCGCGGCCCGCCACGCCGCGCCGGCAGCGCCCGGCGAGGTCGCCGGGCCAGAGCGCGGCGGCGGTTCCAGGCTCCGCCCGCCCGGCCTCGTGGTCGGGCTCCTCCTGCCCACTGCCAGGGTGACGGCGCCTGGCGACGCCCAGTAAACCCGTCTCGGATGAGCTCGTCCGGATCAGCGGCCTCGGCTGGAGCAGTTGGCTCTCGGGGAGGTTCGCCTCGGAGGATGGAGTTGCCGCCGAGGGCAGGGGCGCGGGCACCATTGCCGAGCCGGTCGGGTCGTGGCGGGGGCCCTCTGCGCGCGGGTGGGGGAGGGGCGGGGGCCTCCACTGCCCGTGGGCGTGTCTCGGGGCGGTGCCGCCCAGGTTGCCCCCGCGGCCCCTCTGGGCCAACGAGGGCTTCTCGGCGGTCTCGCTCGGCAGTTCCTCGCGGAGTGTGTGTTCGGTTCGTCTCGGAGGCAGGAGGTCATCGTCGCGCGAAATCACCAACACTCGAGGGGTGGACGGACTGTGGCGGCGGAGCTGCTCTCGCCCGAGCAGTGCTTGCATTCAAGAGGTTCTCATCACTTGCGCTCTGAGTAACTGGCTCTGGTCACCAGAGCTGGGCCAGTCTCACGCTTTGGGTTCTCCACACGCCGCGGCCTTTGGAATTCGACAGAGTTCCACACGCCATGTGTCATGTTGAAACCCACGGATGTCCACAAACGGTGGTCACACACGCACGCACGCATAGGGCTCCGTATGCTTGGAGTTTGAGGTTTCGCACGCTTAGGGTTTTACACGGGATGTCTCAATAACTTGAGGTCCCATGACATTCTACTCGGCTTTCGCTTACAGGGTGCATACACAGGCATGGGGCTTCGTAGCCATAGGTTCCAAGCATTGGGAAAGAGCGTCTTCTGTGGGCGCTTGCAGGGGGGTCACTTGCCAGGGCGTTCCCCTTACAGGAGCCCCCCCAAGGCCCCTGGCATTCTCTAACCAAACTCCACCTCCCGAAGTGTATGTCTGTGTGGGGGGTGTCAAACCAGCGGTAGCGGGCCGACGCCCAATCGATTTGGACAAGTGCCAACCGAATCGTACGTATCCCAACTGGCGCAGAAAAGGCAACACGGCGCCAAGCACAAATCGCTAAGTAGCTTCATACGGCGAGACTATGTGTGAGGCGTTTGAAGCAAACAAGGCCTGCTTACATGGACACTTTTATTCTGGGACAACACGGTTCACAAGTTTGGTTTGGTACCAAAGCGGTCCATGAAAGCGCGGTTCTGAAAACGATCACGGGTGGTGGCAGGTAGAATTTCAGGCGGTATTAATCACATTGCGGTGCAATGCAACGCAACGCAATGCGTGCAGTGCGACCCACTGCGATGCAATAGCTGTGCAACCCAAGCGACAGACAACCCGACAGCAATGCAAACACCACACCATTGAATGAGAAGGCAACGAAGCAGCAATGCGAAGTTCATGCAACAGCAACTCAACACGAACTCACACCAGAGAAAACCCCAATCAGTGGATATTGGAATCTGTTGCAGGTGCCTCAATCGGCCTTCCTCCCACCCTAGTCTAACTCGGATGTACACTCTAGTCCAGTCTAGTTATTCTATGTTCCTCTCTCCTTCTCTCTCTCTCTCTTTTATCGCGCTCTCTCTCGATCCCTCTCTCTTTCTCTGTGTGTTTCTCCCTTTCTCTATCTATGTACCATCACTCCTGATATATTCCTGCGCGCGTATATATACATACATCTGTCACCATATGCATACATGCACGCACGTTCTCTTTATCTCTATCTCTCTCTACTCCTTCTCGTTCATTCTTTAGGTATCATAGTTGTTTGGTTCTCTTTCTCTCCCACCCTCTCTCCCTAGATATCTTAGGTTGGGTGATAATTCACGATCGTGTCGCGCGTGCGGGCGAGGTGAAGTTGCGTGGGCAGGTGAGAGCAATGAACCCGCCGTTGCCAGGGCGAAGCCGAAATAACGTTGCTGTCCCCCGGGTTGGCCAGCTGTGGCCCTGTGATGTCCCGATGGTATCCCGATCCCGATGGTGACCCGATGGTGTCCCGTGGTGTCACGTGGCGTCACGTGGTGGCCCGTGGTGTCCCGTGGAGCGGGGGTTCGGGGGGGGCCCGTGTTATGCAATATGTTTTGCTATGTTATGTTATGCTAGCGGTAGTGAGTGCGATCGATCGTGAGATCCATGAGAGATCGATCGTGAAATCGATAGTGAGATTGGTAGTAAGGTCGATTGAGTGAGATCGATAATCCGATAGATTGCGAGATCGATCGCAAGATCAAGAGTGATATTGATTGAGTGGGATCGATAGTGACATCGATTGTGAGATCGGTCGTGTGTTCGATAGTGAGATCGAACATAAGATCAATTGAGTTGGATCGGTTGTGAGGTCGATCGTGAGATCGTGACATCGACAGGGAGGTCATTAGTGATCAGTTTGAGGGGGCCGAACGGTCATTCATTGTCCATGGGCGCGTGGCTGAATAAGGAATTCGTGGTGAGAATTCTGCTTGTTGCGTTGTTGTTGTTGTGGTTGTTGTTGTTTGTTGTCGTCGTCCCACCCACGACCCACCCGCGACCCACCCCGCGACCCACCCCGCGACCCACCCCGCGACCCACCCCGCGACCCACCCCGCGACCCACCCGCGACCCAACCGGCGACCCACCCGCGACCCACCCGCGACCCACCCAAAACCCACCCAATACCCACCCAAAACCCACCCGCGACTCACCCCGCGACCCACCACGCGACCCATCCGCGACCCATCCGCGACCAACCCCGCGACGCACCCGCGACCCACCCCGCGACCCACCCTTAAGGAAGGAAAAACCACCAGGACCCGACAATTGAGGTGTACTAGGTTTACTACACGGCCTTGGGCGTTGACTAAACAGCCCTGCCTTGTTAGATTCATTCCTTGTTTGCGTTTACTAAATGTCGGGGTGATTATTACGGGGTGGATTTTCTGCCCTCTACACCAGCGACCCACCCGCGACCCACCCGCAACCCAACAGCGACCCACCCGCGACCCACTCGCGACCCACCCGCGACCCATTTGCGACCCACCCGCGACCTACCCACGTTGGTTTAACGACAAAATCGGCCCCTGTGGCGGGCTCGTTGTATAATTTGTGAAACTTTGGCGCCTGCGGCGGGCTTCTCCAGAGTCTCGCAAACTGCCGACGTCCCCACCGCCCCCTCACTCTTGACCGCATCTGCGGGGTGCTACGTATCGATATTGATATCGATAGAGTGACATCGATAGCGAGATCGATAGTGCCATCGAAAATGACATCGATAGTGATACCGATAGTGGAAAGAGCGCGTTCTGTGGTCGCTTGGAGGGGGGGGGGAACCAGGCCCCCCTCCCTCCCTTCCTCCCCTACTTCTTCACTCTCCTTTTTCTCGTGCCAGCGCCTGCGTCGGCGGCGGCTGGCGGCGTCGGCGGGGAC